TCCTGTCCCTGTCCCCGAGCAGAGATCAGTACCTTACTCTTCTTGCTGATGCTGAATGCTCCTGAATGAGAACCACAGCTAGGAAGCCTCCATTAGCACTGTAGTAGTTGATTGATAAAATCAAAATATACTCGTTTTATAGAAAGGAAGTGATCCTGAAGTAGGTATTCCTATCCTCCAAGGTCTTACAGGAGCTCTTCACTCTGCTTACACTCTAATGACTGGTAAATGTGTTGGTGCCTCAGCAGGGTTGGAATTAGTGGGTTGCTTTTTTTATTTTTTTGGTTTTGGGGTTTTGTGACTGGTTTTGTGTCCATTATTTCCCCCTAGGTTACAACACTTCCCAACTCTCTGGTTGGGAACACCGTCCCTCGCCAGCGGATGCGGAAACGGGCAAAGGTTTTATCTCTGGCTAAAAGGTACTTGGGGAATGGGAAGATTCATGTCATGGGGGCTGGTTTGGGGTTTCTATTTGTGATGTGGAACTTATCCCTAGCAGAGCCCTTTTCTGCAGCTGTTGGTTTTTCCCAGTCCTTTTCCAGCTGGGAGGTTTGCTGGACTGGGATAGTTTTGGTAAGAAAAGTCAAGTGGGTGGAATGTTTTAGCTAATTGATAATGTGTAACTTGGGATGGTGAATTTTAGTATTTACTATATGCTTATTTAAAGTTTCTTGTTAGTACAAATTTAATATTTTGTATTAGTACAAATGAGGGAACATCCTGAACTTCCTTTTTCCTTTGTAGGATTCTGCGTATTAAGAAGGAATGTCCAACTCTGCAGAGGAAAGAGCCTCCTCCTTCTTTGCTAGAGGCAGATCTGACTGAATTTGATGTCAAGAATTCTCACTTGCCATCAGAAGTCCTGTACATGCTTAAAAATGTCAGGTAATGTTAAATGGAATGAGAAATTTCAAGTTTGGTTTTGATGGATGTTCAAGTGATGTAAATATTTGACAGTTTGTGTCAAATCTTGGATTTTACAATTGCATGGTCAGAATCCTGAGGGAGTTGACTGAAATTCATCTGAGCATAAGGACAAAATGAATGACTTTGAATTTTCTAGAAACATTAAGAAAATAGCTGAGTTTGTTTTAAAAAAAAAAAAACAAAAAAACAAAAAAAAAAACAGAGATGGTGGAGAAAAAGGAAGTGGTTTAGTTGCCTCAGTTTGAGAGTAGTGCTAGTAAAGGTTTTCTAACATGAACAGGTTTAGTGTACCTTAAAACTTCTATTTAGGCTGTATCAGGCAATTTTTTTTATACAGAAAACCATCATAATTGGTAAATGTTAATTAGATACCATATTGACAGCTCCCTGGGCTGCAGGCTATTTTACCTCTCTGCCTGAAAAGGTTGCAAATAAATCAAAGTCAACTTAATCCCCAGAGCTCTTTGTCAGACTAAGAAGAAGGGATGTTCTTTGTGCCCCTTCAGCAAGGGGTTAAATTGCTGACACAGCTAAGAGGAGGTCTTCCAATCTGTAATTTTGGTTTTGCTTGTGGATGTTCATTTTTCCTTCCAGTTGTGATATAATGCAGTCCTGAAGGTCAGTCATTCTCAAATAAAAATGCTATTTCAGTCATCTGAACTTGCTGCTGTGGAATTATGGTCTCCTATGACTAATTGATGTTGCAGTAGGATTTGATGGATTGATCCTGATAAAAGTGAGCTGTTGGAGCTCTGTACAGAGTGATCAGGTGTGAAACCCGTATTTCTCTCTGCCTGGCAGTGACTGACTGGAGTCAAGATGCATGTTACCAGCAGGAGATGGAATATTCCAAACTTGCAATTACATGCAGATGACAGGAGCTTTTCCCTCTTTCCAGTATTTCTCCTATGTCCTGCTTCCACGGACAGGGCAGCTGCACTGAAAGGGGAAGTTCCTGGGGTAACTTTTCTCACAGAGTGTGTGTATCAGGCAGGTTTTTATTTTTATTCCCCACCACAGGCCATGTTGGTGTTTGCTGGAGGAGATTTGGCTGTAATTCCTTCTGAGCCTGCATTCCTTGGAGGGCTCCTCCAAAGGAGCCCCAGCATTTACAGTTCTGTGTTTCGTGCTGGTCTTGCACCTTATTTTGGGGAGCTCTTTGAGGCTCCTTCCCTGCAGCTGGGCTTCCTCTGCTCCTCACAGCTGGGGCTTTGCTAATTTAGGAAGGATTTTGCAAAGGCTGTGACAATTTCAGGTTTTCCCTTTGCATTTTCTTTGCTGCAGGGTCCTTGGGCACTTTGAGAAGCCCCTGTTCCTGGAGCTGTGCAAGCACATGTTCTTTGTGCAGCTGCATGAGGGCGAGTACATCTTCCGTCCCGGGCAGCTGGACGACAGCATCTACGTGGTGCAGGATGGAAAGCTGGAAGTTTGCATCCAAGAAAGTGTAAGAACCCACTCAGACTCAGATGTTTATTAGTTCTTAGCTATGTTACAGTCTCACAAGCTGTGAG